GGAAATAATTAGAATTTAGAGTTTACATTTATTATACAGTAAATCAGGATACGTAATAGGGATACGAGAATGTTCTTTTATAGAAGTTCAAAGTAACGGAATAAATAATTAAAACAAAATGAAATAAAGGTCCTATAGGGTTAACCTCCGCTGGGAAACTTTAATGGGACTCGGTAGATAACTTTTATTCGCAACTCTCCTGCTGTTCAAGGTCTGAATATTGATTTTCTTGATCTGAAATGGTTAAATAGGAGAATAAATTACATTAACTCAATAAGAATATCACACTTAATACCGATACAGAAAACTAAAAGTTGGTAAAAAATCATAAAACAACCAATGAAGCTATTTTTCTTTCTTACATAAATTTATTTAATATAAAAATGTAGTTTCATATTTATCTTTATGAGTTTTCAAAACCGACCTACGAAAGCAATAATTCAAATTATATTTTGATTTCATTTTCAAATGAGCCATAATAATATACTTACCTGTTTACCAGTGCCCTTGGGGGTCTGTAGGGATATTCCCTTACACGTGAATCCAATATCCAATTTATTAATAAACCGACTGTCCTCATATCCCGTTCGGTAATGAGCGCTAAACATGTTATCGTCTCAATACTCTATCCGATATGAGGGTGAATTATACCTCCCAACTCTTTTTGATATGAGACTTCTCAGCCCCATTCGACTGAGATAATGTTTACGGTAGGGTTTTTCCTATATATCGGGTCCGTTCACCCTTTTCTAGGGTACACAGTAAGCCTTTCATACATAGATTCATGTTATCAATCAATCACCAATCGCATACCAATATCTCATTTCATATTTACAGATTAATAGAACGTTATTTGAGTAGATAATGCAAATTTATACTTTAACGATTAAGAAACGTAATTAGGACATTTATTTCAAATCAGTCAACATATAAAAATAACAGTTAGGTAATCAATAAATGAGAAAGCAAATAAATTAATAATTTAAAGTACACGATGTAATAATAAGCAATTTAGGCAATATAAGAAAATAAATAGGTAACACGAATAATTTAGGACAATTATACGCTAATCAGTTCTGCCTCCACTGGTGATTTGTAATTAATTTTAAGTTTTTTTTTTTTAATTTTCACAAAACACAATGTTATTGATTATTAAGTTTCAATTTACCATAACAGGAAAAAGAGTGATGGATTCTTACCCCGAATCGGTGTCCGAAACACCATATTTTTCACTACGCCTCCTAACGGTCCCTGTATTTCTTGAATTTTTCCTGCAAAAAATAAAAATACCCATCACGTATCCAAAAATACTCCAAAAGGTCAAAATATGTGTTTTTAAACTTTTTCGACAAATTTAGGGTTCCAACACGCCGGCGGTTCCTCTCGCCCTAGCTGTTTTCGGTCAATTTTAGCCGATTTTGCATGAAAACTTGCGACAAACCAAGTTAGAGGGTCTCTGTTGGCCGGAAAAGGAAAAAACTGAAACCCTATCGGCGGAAGGGTCTCCAGGTGTGGTGGCTCTGCCGTTCCTCCTTTGTGGTCAGGATTTTCCTTTGGCTAACCTGCACAGAAAGAGACGAGGAACAAAGTAGTCAAAAAATCGCAGGAAACGGGAGACAGGAAGGGGGTTGTAACAGCCCGAACCCTAATACCAATGGATACGGATGTTAGCACAACATTTTCAACTAATGGAATAGATAAATATTAAATATATAGCGGAACTACACTTTAATACACATCTTTTGTGACCGGATTAAATATTACTAAGACATCTAAATTAATTTACAAATTTAAAATAAAAATTAATAAGGTTTTCTTTGCCATCTTCTATTGATCTTGGACTTATTTCTCATTTTCTCTCACCTGAATGAGGGTGAATTAGGGTGAGTTTTACGAGTTTAGTAAAAAAAAAAATTGTGTAACAGAGACTTACGCATATACATTCACGCAATATATAAAATATAATAATTTTTATTATCAAAGAAATGTCAAACAAGTATCACAATTGAAATACATAATAAAACAAATCATCACACAAAACATATTCTAATTCTCCATCTTCTAACTTAATTCTTGTTTTCCTTTTAAGTCACACTTATAGATTCACATATTTTTTTAAACCAAAATGGATTTACTCACACACACATATCACTCTACTCGAATTTATAATTTCACATTATTTAGTCTTTTAAAACTTAATTAGGTTACCATTGCGCGATGCAATTTATATCGTTATCGAGGAGAGACGAAATTGATCCCCCATTGCATGGATAACACACACACAAAATCTCATGTTGGCCACAACAGTTATGTTTGTTAGATGACCCACTCACAAACACCTATCTTCGTCTGGATTATGTTTCAATCTCTATCAATATGCAAGTTCATTATACCTGTTGAAATTTAACCACACACACTCCCCTCATCGATTTAGACTAAATGAGTAGGTATTTAGGGTTTTTGTACTTTATACTCTTTTTAAATTTTTCTCGTTTTTAATTCACTTATTTTATACATAAGATTTTAATTTTTATGCATAAATACAAACACACACACAATACGCGATATTATCACACACACAAGAGCCATATATTTCAAGCTAATTTCTGAATCATCCTGTATTATATCACACAGTAAGCATATGATACTCAGATTTTTCATGCAACTGTACCAGATCACACAATAATTACAGTACCCTGTACATCTACATTATATCATACAATAAGTGCAGTGTACTCAAATTCCACACGTACACACACTGGTTATACATTTCACATGCATAGCATGTGTACACACATATTAATAGCCACACATATTATAATACAGACATGTACCCTCACTACATGTCTCACACAGAATATATATTTATATTTATACACAATCTCTACCGATACATGCACATATTCATACTTAAACACGTATACACAATCACACATAACATATATATACATATTTATTCACGCATTTGCACTTATCAGTTCTGTTCTTATTAGTTCTGTTCTTATTAGTTCTGTTCTCATCAATTCATATCTCATTCATCGTATATTTTTATATACACATACACACATACGTAGTAACGTATATATATACATTATATAAACACACACAAATATAAATTAGACATATTAATTATATTTATATTACATTACGGACATTTAAACATTTACACCTAATGCACAATATATATACACATTTACATAAATATATAATTTACGTCTCCGTACGGAATACACATAATTCTTACCTATAGTGTGATCAGGAAAACTTTGGGAATCATTTCTAACTCGATCTATGGTCATCTCGAAAATTCGAATACTGTTTGAATAGTTTTTCTCGTTTATAATAGAAAATACATATATTAAATTATGAATAATTTTAAAAACTATATTACGGAAAATGAGGAACGGATTTTACCTTCGGACATGCAGTCCTGGTCGCTGACGTCACTACGTGCTGCCATACGCATGTTACCAAAAATGCTAGACATTGATGATCGAATCAGCGTGCGTTGTCGCATGCAGCGCGCCAACATCATATTTGGTTGCCACCCTTCCATTTTATTTAATTTAATTTTTTTTCTTTTTTTTTTTCTCTTCTTTCACTTTTTTTCTTTTATTCCTTTTATTTCTTTTTTTTCTTTCTTTTTTGTCCTTTTTTTTTCTTTTCTTCTTCCTTTTTCCTTCATTCTTCTTCTTCCTCCTTTCCCGTGGCTTCCTTTTTTTTTCTTTTTTCTTCCTTTTTCTTCTTCTTCTTTCTTTTTCTTCTCTCTCTCTCTCTCTCTCTCTCTCTCTCTCTCTCTCTTTTTCTCTCTCTACTCAACCACATCTCTTCGCTCTCTCTCTCTAACCAACGGCGATCGCTCTCGTCTTTCTTTCTCTTTTGGTTGCAATATCGCGCAACACCGCACGACCCCTCTCTCTCGGCCATCGACGTCACTCAACCCTTTTTCTCCTCTCACCGTCGCGTCTCTCTCTCCTCGCTGTTTCCTCTCTTTTTTTTTTTTCTCTACTCTTTCATTACATATATATATATTTGCCGCTTGGTTTGTTCTCCTTCTCTCTACATTCTTTTTTTTTTAAAATTATATATATACATACATATATATGCGTATATATATATTTGCCATGGTTTCCTTGTGCTCTCAAAGGTGTACACACCTCTGGGTCTTTTTTTTTATCTTCTTTTTTTTCATTATAATTAATTAATATATATTATATATATTTTTTTCTTTTCTTTTTTTTGTTTTTTTATCTTTTTCTATTGTCCCATTATATATATGTTGCAATTATATATATATATATATATATATACACATAGATATATATGCCGCATGAGTATTATAGGAGTTATCGGAGGGGTTTTCGGGTTGCGGCCGTGATGGCTCGGCCGAGCTCCGCTTGTGTTTTCCGACTCACCTACTGCCCTTTTTGCTTCGATATAGGTGTAGGGAGGTTCAAAATTCCATTTCGAGTGGAAGGAGAAAAAATTTATTTCTTTCGGTGCGGCGCCGGTGTCCCTCCGGCCGCCCTCCTTCTTCTTCTCCGGTCGGGGTTGTCGGCTAGGGTTTTGGGGCCGACTGAAGAGAGGTTTAAATACCTCTCTTCCTTCTGATCTTGGCCGTTCGTCCCCGTCGACGTGGAGCGAGGAGAGCTGTCTGATTGTTGCCTGTTTAGACTGATCACATGTGCAAATCTGGATCGTCCATCGCAATCAATCCCATCCGTCCAATCGTATCTGAAGAGAAAATGCATTTGGACCGTTAGTGTGCGCGGGATGCGATATGAGTTGTCAGATTGCTCAAGCACGCGAATTGCCCGCGTGGCTCCAGCGTGGAGCCGGAGTCAGCATGTCCATCATGCGGCGTGTTCTGACTCTCCGTGCTGCTGACGTGACCGTCCCACGTGGCTGTATTTTTTCTTTTTGCGATTTTACCTCTTCTTTTAAGTTTTTCTTTCAAAAACATCCCATCTATTTACAGTTTCACCCACTTTCTTAAAATTGTTTTCAATTTCATCACTAAATCTATTTTTTCTCAAAAAATTTCATAAAACTAAAATAAAATAAAAATTAAATTATTTTAATATATCATTTTATTAATGTAAAATTATTCCAGGCCAAATTTTTGGACTCAGGTGTTACATAATCTCTATACTCTCAAAGGCCTTTGATTTACTTTCCTTCCAAATCACTCATAAGTAAGTCAAAGGGATGGGAGATAATTTCTTCTTATTATGCTTATCACCTTGGATGTCTCTCCAAGCCTAGATCTCATCCCCAACAGAATCAGCCATCACCCAGCTTACACCCAAAAGGCTATAGCAGTTGTCCATTATCGAAAAGAAAGAGGACATAACAAAGGATGGTTAGGTGACTCAGCCACCCTCTTGCAAAAGTAACACCTCTTCACAAATATTTCCCTCTTTTAATCAGATTGTCTTGGATGAAAATACTTCGCCTTGCACTTCTCATGGATTGCATGTAAATGCCTTTTACAAATGGATGGGACTCTTTACTCAAAAAAAAAAACAAATTGGTGGTACTCTTTTGGTGTTTATTATATATTTCTTGAACTATTCAGTAGCCATAGCATGTCATTCTTTGCTGAAGTTTCCTTGGGACTATTGTTGCAATGACAACTAGCAATCAATTTAAGGATTAACTACCATTGTTTTTCTTTGCATCAGATGTGTCACAGTTGACTCTTTACTCAAAAAAAAAAAAAAACAAATGGATGGTACTGT